GGGCCGCCAGGCCGCCTCGCCAGGGCCACGTGCCCAACAGGCCGTGGGGGCAGTGCACCTGGGTGCGGGAAGCTGCTCTGCCCGGCACACGCCCAGCGTGTCCGGGGGCAGCGGCAGCCCCCGCTGCAAACGCCACCGTCCAGACAGTCCACAGACGCCCACCGAGATGAGGTGCCCACCACAGCTAGGGGGCCCTGCCCGCCCCCGCCTTCAGGGCTGCAGCGCCTGGGAGAGCCTCTGAGACCTAGGCCTGGACCCTCTGTGAAGCGGGCTGCCGGGAGGCCCCGGGGCAATGCTCAGGCGGCTGGGGCAGGAGACGGTGACGCCGCTGGGCTGGTTTAACCCACCCCAAGCCAGTGGGGCTCGGCTGCCTGAGGACACCCACGGGTGACAGTAATCAGTTGCGCCAGTCTAACCGGAGTCCGAGTGTCCAGACCAGACCAAGCACCAAGGCCAGTTACCGGCAGGACGGGCGTGAGGTGGCAACCCTGCCTGCTGCTGGGGCCGGGCCGGTGCCTCCACCTCCAGCTCCCAGAGCCTCGCCCTGGCCGGGTAACCCCCAGGGAAACTAGGGGCAACAGCAGGGAGGTCACTAACTCGGGGACACTGATCACTGGAACCCCAGTGGCCACATGGCAGAAGCCGGCCTGGTAGGGGCCCCTTGTCTATAGAGCTGTCACAGCGGGGTGCTGGTGGCGGGGCCCTCGCTTCTGACCATCGGGACACTGAGATGTCAGTGCTGGGGGCCTCAGATCGTAACTGGGGCCTGAAGCAGTGTTTACGTTAGCCCACAGTGCGCAGCCAGCGGCAGCACCCTCATCTTGGCCCCCCCACCCCCCGTAGCTCTCAGGCAGGGAAAGGCGGCCATCGCTCCAGGGCGACAGACTGTGGCACTGCCCAACTGCCGGCTACCCCCTCAGCCAGCTGTGAGAAACACTGGGGACTCCAAGGACAGTCACGTTCTTGTGGGCTCAGGTGTCTGCCTAGAGGGACAGGCCCAGGTGACGGGCGAGCCAGCAAGCGCTTGCTTGGCTTGAGGATGAGCCAAGACCAGGCAGGGCCTGACCAGAGAACCTGGGAGGGCAGAGCAGGCGGCCAGGACGGCAGCTGGGGGAGAGGCAGGGACAACGCTGCCCTGCCCTGCCAGCTCTCGGCTGCTGACAGCCGCCTGGAGCTCGGCCCGGCCGAGGTGCCTGCACCAGCTTCCGGCAGAACTAGCCAAGATTCGGCATGCAACTCAACCAGGCAAGGGGTCCCAGCGCACGGTCCCTACTCAGCACCCCTCTGTGCTGAGGCCACAACCGAACACTTTCCGGACACCTTCCCCCACCGGTCTAGTCTGAGGGAGTAAGAATCGTCCCCTTGTGGACAGAGTCAATCAGAGGGATCAGGACACCTGTCTAAAGTCACCACTGCAAGTGGGTGAGGATGGGAAGGGAATGAACAACTCCCCGGCTGACAGGCGCTGGGGACTCGACACGTGTTCTCCCGAAACAGCACAGCGGGAGCACAAGCCCGGCCTGCTTTTACAAGGAGGAAATGGGGGGGGGGGGGCAGAGGTGAAGGGTCAGTGGTGAGGCCCCATTGCCAGCTTCCTGGAGACTTCTGGACTGCTCCACAGGCATGAGGCCCGTTGCACAGGCAGGAGACCCCGGGAGTGGGAAAAACCCTGGACCCACCCTGGCCAGCCCACTGACTCCCAGAGGCCTGGGTCAGGTCTTAACTGACCGCCAGACACACCCTCCAGTTCTGCTGTGGCCCAGACATCCCAACCCAGGCTGTTCCTGGCACCCATTCAGCCGCAGGCTGGCTGGTGTTGCTGACCAGGATGCCCTTGACACCACCAGGGCCTTCGTGCTGTGCCCAGATGCCCCTCCTTGAACCTTCAGCAGGCCAGACATCCGTGCCCTGGGGCTGTGCTCCCTCTGCCCTGCCTTATCGTGGCCAGGTCCCGGTCCTGTGGGGCTGAGTCCCTTTGTGGAGCTCCCAGCAGCCTGCACTGCTCAGAGGACCAGCCCCGGTCACACAGCAGCAGAGCTGATGGCAGGTAAATGCCAGGAAAGGCCTGGCCAGCTTTTCTGGCCAACACCAGTCGTGACCAGGAGTGGCGAGAGGCATGGGCCCCACAGGGAGGACAGAGTGGACGGGGCGGGCAGTCCTGACCCGTACTGTGCAACTTGCCTGTCCAGGCGGCCTCAGGAGCAGGGTGGGGAAGTGTGTCCTGGCCTGGGGCTCCTCCTAAAGCCCCCCCTTCCTTTCCAGGGTCTGCGCAACTCCTTTAGGACCCCTGATCAAGCTGGCTGAGGGGTCAAGCTCTGGCTGGAACCATGCGGAACGGGGAGCATGGGTCATCCACACTGACTTCCAGGCCCAGCTGCACCTCAGCCCTGACCTCGGAGCCCGTGGGCTGACTTCTAGACACACCCCACGCCTCTTCAGCCAGATGTTTCTCCCAGCATTCCAGGCCTTGATCCCTTTGTCCTGCAGGTAAGAGTTGGACAGGACCTCTGAGAGAGCAGCTTTCTAGATGTCCTGTCACTGGCTGCCTCAACTGATGAAGGAGCTCACGTGGGATCCTTGGTCTAGGAGAGCCAAAGAGCCCAGACCTGCCAGCCTGCCCTGAGAATGGCCTGAGCTCCAGGAGGGAAGTGATAAAGCAGGTGCCAGCTTCTTCAGAAACCAGCCCGGGGGTGAGGCAGGAAGAGCCATGACCAGCGTGTCCCACAGGATTTCACTGGGCGGGGCCCAGTGCCAAGTCACAGGATGGACACCAGGCAACCAGTGTGGGCAGGAGCTCTGGCTGGCAATCTGGAGTGTCAACCACCACCTGGCAGTGTCAGGCCTGAGGCAGGGGACACCTTGGCCCGCTGAGCCCCCCCTTACGCACAAGGGTTCAGGCTCAGAGCCTCCAAGGGGATTCCGGACCCATACGGGAAAACCTCGGGAAAGGGAGAGCAGCCACCCACTCTAGGGAGAGCCCACCTTGGCAGCTCGGTGCAAACCTCTGACTAACAGCCCCAGAAGTGGTTGTCACACAAGCTAGGCCCCCACCATGCCACCAGGGTGCACTTGTGGGGGGGGTCACTCGTAGTTCCTGGACCCAGTCTGGCTGGTACGGAAGCCTCACGCCTACTGAGGAGACACTTAGTCTGGCTCATCCCGACTTCATCCGGGTCCTTCTGGCCTTCCTGTTAATTCTGCTCTCCTGAGATGGAGCCAAGACTAGGGAACACGCACAGCACCAGGTTCAGCTGGGCAGTCAGTGGGTCGCACCCAATGGACGGAAACTGCCGCCTCGCCCCCAGCCCATCACTGCTGGCTCCTGGCGTCTTTGCAGTAAACAACTCTAGCGTTTGCTTCCCCTCGCCTACTCCCTCGGTATGGAGGTGCCGACTTGCTCCATTACAAGCTGGCACAACTCTTGTTTGCCATTTCAGTTCTCTGCTCCGTGGCTGGAGGCAGCCACTTTCCCAAGCAGGGGGGCTCAGCCCCCAAATGACGGTGGCCCCTGGGGAGGCCCTAGGGGTGCAGTGTCCTGGGGCCACAATGGAACTGCTGGGTCACCAGGCAGGTCTTGGCTTCAATTGCAGGAGAAATGCCCAGCGGCTGCCCCGAGTGTTTAGTCCACTCGCCTACCTCCCACCGGCAGGGTGACCGGCTCCTGGTGCTCCATTTCCTCTACGCCTGGTGTTGTCTGACTTTCAGATTTTGCCGGTCTACGTGCGCAGCGGCATTCTCAGTTGCATTCTCTTGACAACCGCACCTGGGCGCCACTGCACGGGCTTGCTTGGCAGGTAGCCCCGTGCCAGGCTGCCCACTGGGCTTTCCGTTCTGCCTCCTCCTGACAGGGTCCTACCTGTGCTCTGCACAGCCCTGGGCCTCATCTGTCGGAAACCCCTTTCCCACCCCGTGCTGACTGGCCAGGTGAGCCTGAAGGCCACTGACTTGAACTTGTCAACTTTCCTTAACGCCTTCCTGTGCGGAGATCACAGAATCTCCTCACGCTGTCCCAAGTTCTGTATTTGGCATCTGTAGGTGTCCTCGCACGGAGCCCTGCAGGAAGGTCCCGCAGGCAACGAGCTCCTCCGCCAGCGGGGCTGGGGGCAGGAGGTCAGCGGGCTGGGCGCCACCCAGCTTGCATCTCTCCTCCCAAGTGGGGAAACTAAGGCTCAGAGAAGTCGAGCGACATGACTGAGGAACAGCCCGCCCAGCTACTCAGGCTTTCAAGTCGCAGTCTGAGGCCAGTCTGGCTACTTCCTAGCAGGAAGTTTACAGACATCACTTAGCCTGAGTCCCTGCTGGCCTCACCTACAGAAAGAGAAAAGAGCTTGTTATCGTAGAAGGAAGAAAGTTAGCACAGGTATTAGCAGTGGCCTGCTTGATACCAAGTTCCAAAGCACGCGGCATAGAACAAATAAAGGTGTAGCCCTCCACCTTCCTGCCTGCCTCAGTGCTGCCAGCAGCCAGGAGGCGCACGCTGATAAGCAGGTGAACCCTTCCCACACCCAGTCCACCGTCTCCCCGAACCCTGACTCCCACTGATGTTCCACCAGGTGTTGCCGAGCCCAGCTGCTGACTCAGTGGACTTCTGGGGCACCGGGAATGGCCCAGCCCACGCTGTCTCCCACGGTACAGCAGGGTTGAGACACTCGGAGGCACCTGCTAGGGTGGCTGCCTTCCAGGCTGGGAAGGAAGCCCCAGTTTCGATGCGCACTGATAAGGAGCGTGACAGACCCACCAGGCCCAGGGAAGTGCTCCCTCCCGGCCCACCTGCTACAGCGCACAAAGCCCAGCCACAAAGGCCACTGACTTTATTGATTTAAAAAACTTTGAGGACAGTGACTGTTCTGCCACAAAAAAGAGCAGAACGGCTTGAAAGAGACCAAAGGTGGGAGTGGGGGTGAGGACAGGGGCTAGGAATTCACTCAAAAAAGCTGGCTGTGGTCAACGTGAACCTGGCAGGGGAAGGAGAGGGACGCATGCAAGAGTGAGAATCCCCAAAAAGCTGCAAGGGTGAGGGGAGAGAACTCCCAAGAGACCCTGGAGTACATCGGAGGTGAGTACGAAAACAGCAATCTTCCTCTGTGAAGGACGGGAGGGGTCCCCATCAGCCAGCCAACTCTGGGGACTCAAAGGGGGTGCTGGGGGGGAGCCGCCCAGAGGGCGTCACAAGAAGGCGTCGCACCACTCTCGGAGACACCCGAAGCAGTCCCGGGACTGCTTGGCGTTGGCGCCACATGTGTCCTTCAGCCATTCCCGGAAGAGGTCTTCATCTTTCTTTAGCACCAGAAACTGGCCAAGGACCACGTAGGCCTGCAAAATAGCCAAGCAAAGGGCATGCTGCTCTGGGGAATGAGGCAAAGGCCCCGAAGTGGCCTCACAGCAGAGGCCTAGGAAGCAGGGCAGGCCCTGGCTAGCTCCCCAGGTCTACAAGCCACGGCCCACCCCCACCAGGCACTGGCTCCCCTCACTCCGGAAATGCCAGGCAAAGCCTTGTAGCGGCCTGCCCTCCCCTGGTGCACGCGGCCGTCCCACACCTTGTCAAAGCCCCTTTCCTCCAGCTTCTTGCCCAGGACTTCTCCAATCCCCGCCAGGCTGCCCACTGGCTTTTCCCCCATGGGCTCCGCCACGAAGTCCCGGTGCTTCTGAGAGGTGGTCATCTTGCTCAGGCTTAATCTGGGAATCCCAAGGAAAGGCAGATTAGGGCTGAAAACGCGGCCACTCCCCAGGGCCCACTGCAACCTCCTCCTCGGAAGAGGCTAAACCGGCCTTGCCGGCGATTCACTCTCTTTCCCCGATTCCACAGACGAGACGGCTGAGGCCCAAGGAGTCTGCCCCACTACCCAAAAGTAAACTCTTCCACTCCCCCGAAAACTGGGCTATGCACCAGCCGGGGGAAAACGATCCTGCCCGAACAGGTGGCGTGCGAGGCAGAGGGCAGAGTCCCAGTCGGTGGCCAGGGCCCGCCCTGAAGCTATCACTCCCTCGTGACCTTGGCTGGGCAAGGCAGACACGGATTCTGCCTGGAACGGCTCCCTGACACGAAAATCAAATATAGGGCTTCTCTGCCCCATTCGCCCCCACAGCCGACCCCGACCCCGCAGCCCCGCAACCCCGCGCTGACACCGCCGGGTG